GATTTCTTCTAAAGCCCTATACCAGCCTCTGTTCCTGCTGGTTCCAGAGAAGTTTGGACTTGGCTCCTGATGTGGTGGCCTCCTGGCTGCCTGCTTCTGCTCCTCAGCCCCCCAGAAGCTACAGTTGTGGCCTTGTGATGAGTCCATGCAGACTCCCACTGCCCTGGGCCCTGAGGCCAACCCCAGCTTCATCTCAGGAAGAAAGGAGCGGTTCCACACCACATCCATATTTGCTCTTGATCCCAGGCATTCATGGCCCAGCTAAAACACCCCAACTTCAGCCACGTCTGTAATTTCACCAATTGAACCCCATGCAGGTTTCTGAATTGACACTCTGGCGGGTGCCCCGTTTCCTCCTATATTTTGCATGCCTAACTCTTGCCCTTTGGCCCAGGGAAGAAAGTCTGATCCCTCATTCAGACTAGCAGCTAGTGCCTGGCTGCCATGCCTGGCTACCACAGCTGACATTACAGGCTTGCCTCAGTTTCCCTTTTGGCTGCATTCCTCCCTTGTCAATAAGAATGCCCTGTTAGCCGGGAATGACCTTTCAGACCACCTGTCTGGACTCCACAGATCCCATGACTCTTTCTGCTTAAGGCTCTTTGCTCAGCTTGACCATTTAGGCTGCTGTGCACTGTCTATTGAGGGACTGGCCACAGATGCCCCTTCAGCCCCCTCTCCAGCTGTCCACTGCTGCCTGTATTTCCTCTCTGTGGCATGTTCTACAGGTATTTCCCCTCTCATCCTTGTGCTGGAGGGAGTGGAATGTCCCAACACAGATAAAATATGGAGCACAGGAATCTCTGTAGATGCCCCAGTCTAGCCACTTACTAGCTGAGTGACACTTCATTCATTTCACAAATATGTTTGATGCCAGGCACATTTTTAAGCGCTGAATAAGCAAGCTAAGCAGGGCTCTGCCATCAGGGGCTTTACACTGAAATTGAGGGGGAAAGACAATAAATTCAAATAAGAAAAGGAATTCCGAATTGTGATAGCTATATGAAGAAAATAACACCGGATAAATCAAACAGTAAGTTATGGAGGTGGGGGTGATGTGGAGAAGAACTTGAAATAGAGATGTGGGTCATGAGAAGGAGAGAGACACCTGGTGATCTGAGAAAAGAGAGTTACAGGCAGAGGGAACAGCAAGGGTAAAGGTCCTGGGGCAAGAATGAGCTTGTGTCTTCCAGAGACAGAAAGAAGGCCATAGTGAGTGTAATCCAATGAATAGCATGAAGAAGCAAGCCCACTGGGGCATGTGGCCATGGTCAGCACTTTGGACTTGATACCAAATGCAATGGTAATGATGTAAGGGTTTAGGCAGGAGAGAGATATAGTTTTATTTACATTTTAAAGATACATCCTGGCTGCTCAGGGAAATCAGGGGAGGGATGCTGGCAACTCGGACTCCAGGGACAGTGCTATAGTTGAAAAGAGGCCATCTGCATGTGCATATGTTTGGAAATAGGATCAACAGTATTCACAGTTATGTGAGACATGAGTTACAGACAAGAAAATCTCACCCCCCCCCCCAACTATGATAAACTTTGGTGCCCTTCCTATAAAGTGGTTATACTGTACACTTAGCAGGCATTCAATAGTATAATAACTATAAAACTGAATGTGAACCTGGCCCTGATGATTGATTGGGATCTTATTTTGGCAACAAAAGAAACAAGCAAGAAACATTCCCATAGTGCCTGGCCTGCCAAGGGACAATAATTTGGTGTAGACTGTTGGACTCACTGTGTCCTCTTTCTCCTAGGCCTTTGCATGTGCAGTCTTGGGACACTAGCCGGCTGCTCATCCACCCTCACCTGGCATACTCCTTATTCATCCTTCAGGTTCCTGCTAGAATAGAATGTTCAAGGACTTCCTAAGATAAGACTAGGTTCCTCTCCTCCAATCCTCCTGCTGGCTTGCTGGGATGCTTACATCCTGTCTTAGTTTATAGGACTTAAGGACCAGATACCACGACCTATTCTAGAATTTCAGCTCATGGCGGATACCCCAGTTTGCTGAACAGGTCAAGAAACTAGCTCCCAGTCCCATGCCAGACTGCCAGAGAGACTTGTGGGAGGTTCTCCTTTCGCTTTCAGCGCTACAGACTGGACAAGAGCCATCTGCTCCTGTAAGAAACACATCCTGGAATCCTGTGTAGAGATTCCTTGTGGGAGATTCAGCTTTCCCTTTTGGCATTTCAGGACGGAGAAGAGCCATCTGCTGCTGAAATGTATTTTTAAAAAATAAGTAGGGGAGAAACCAAGATGGCGGCATAGGTAAACACCAGAGTTTGCTGCCTCTAACAACCACTTCAAAACTACAACTAAAAGATGGAAAGGACATCATCCAGAACCACAGGAAGGCTGGCTGAGTGGAAGTTCTACAACTAGGAGGAAAGAGAAAAGCATACCAAGACTCAGAGGAGGCGCAGTGCTGAAGTAAAATACTAAGGTGCTGAGTGCATGCGGAGCGGGCTGGCAGCTGAGGGCATGGTTGTTGTTTTCAATCAGGAGGGAGTCTCAGGCTCTGAACTCCAGTTCCCGGCGAGTCTCTAGGGACCCAGACTCATACGGGAGAAGCTGGACTATCTGGCATTGCTCAAAACCCTAGGGCAGCTTTCTCTCTGTGTGGCTTGCAGCGATTACTGGGACACTGAGAAGCAGAGTCTCTGAGGGCAAGACTGAGAGCAGCCATAATTGCTAACCCCACCCTGTTGATCCCATGGGACCCGCCCCGCCCAAGCCCTGCAGGGAGACTTTTGCTGGATAGCCTCAGTCAAAGGCTAGATTGTCACCTCCCTAGAGATCCAGGAGCCAAGAAGCCCAGAGGTCAGAGTGGGACCATCCAGTTTTCAGCTCCGTGGAACCATAAAAGACACACTCAGGGGGCAGACTCAGTGAGCACCAAAGCCCCATCGAAGCAAGTCTAGCCCCAGAGGGGTGTCTCCAGCACAGAAGTTCTCCCACTGCAGACACAGCTGATTCTCACAGCCAATTGGCCTGGAGGTCAATTCCTCACAGTGATAACTACAACAATCAAGGCTTACTTACAACAAGACTGTGCACAAAGCCCACAAGGTGGTGCACCAAGAGTGTCTACCTCAGGTAATTGGGACACTTAGCACAGAAAGGCACTCTATCGACACAGGGAAGCATGAAAAATGCCGAGACAAAGAAACAGGACACAAATGACAGAATTGGAGGAAAGCAAACTGCTGGATATAGAGTTCAAAACCACACTTTTAAGGTCTTTAAAGAACTGTCTAGAAGCCGCCAATAAATTTAATAAGGCCCACGAATAGACTGGTGAGACCGCCGATAAATGTAGTGAGATCCTCAAGAAGACTGGTGAAACCCTCAATGTTGTGATAAAGAACCAACTAGAAATTAAGCATACACTGACTGAAATAAAGAATATTATACAGACTCCCAACAGCAGACCAGAGGATCACAAGAATCAAGTCAAAGATTTGAAATACGAAGAAGCAAAAAACACCCAACTGGAAAAGCAAAATGAAAAAAGAATCCAAAAATACGAAGATAGTGTAAGGAGCTTCTGGGACAGCTTCAAGCGTACCAACATCAGAATTATAGGGGTGCCAGAAGAAGAGAGAGAGCAAGATATTGAAAACCTATTTGAAGAAATAATGACAGAAAACTTCCCCTACCTGGTAAAAGAAATAGACTTCCAACTCCAGGAAGCGAAGAGAACCCCAAACAAAAGCAATCCAAAGAGGACCACACCAAGACACATCATAATTAAAATGCCAAGAGCAAAAGACAAAGAGAGAATCCTTAAAGCAGCAAGAGAAAGAAAATCAGTTACCTACAAGGGAATACCCATATGAATGTCAGCTGATTTCTCATCAGAAACTTTGAAGGCCAGAAGGGAGTGGCAAGAAATATTCAAAGTGATGAATACCAAGAACCTACAACCAAGATTACTTTATCCAGCAAAGCTATCATTCAGAACTGAAGGTCAGATAAAGAGCTTCACAGATAAGAAAAAGCTAAAGGAGTTCATCACCACCAAACCAGTATTATATGAAATGCTGAAAGGTATCCTTTAAGAAGAGGAAGAAGAAGAAAAAGGTAAAAATACAAATTATGAACAACAAATACACATCTATCAACAAGTGAATCTAAAAATTAAGTGAATAAATAATCTGATGAACAGTATGAACTGGTGATTGTAATAGAATCAGGGACATAGAAAGGGAATGGACTGACTATTCTTGGAGGGGGGGAGGGGTGTGGGCATGAGGGAAGAGATTGGACAATAATCGTGCACCTATGGATGAGGACAGTGGGTGGGGAGTGAGGGCGGAGGGTGGGGTGGGAACTGGGTGGAGGGGAGTTATGGTGGGAAAAAAGAGGAACAAATGTAATAATCTGAACAATAAAGATTTAATTAAAAAAAATAAGTAGGGCGGAGAGGATGGGGGATTAATGGGGGGGGATGAGGACACATTTGTAACACCTTAACTAATAAAGAATTGAAAAAAATAAGTAAATTTATAAATGTTGTTGGCAGGATTAAGAGAGAATACCAGGGGCAAATTAGATCATGCTTATTAACACTTAATCCTCTCTGGCTTCAGGAAAGCACTGAAAAGCCTCTTACTCTGGTTCATCCCTGCCCCTGGGGGCGGAGCCCCTGGACTTTGGTGGGCGTGGTTAATAACTCGGTCCTGGTAATGGCGTATATATACCAGGGTCAGGCCATGGCTCCCGCAGTCCTGTGCCAGACTGTCTACAGAGAGACTTGTGGGAGGTTCTCCTTTCGCTTTCCGCGCCACGAACCAGACAAGAGCCGTCTGCTCCTGGTGAGTCCAGAGAAGGGACCGAGTAGGTTCGGGAGGCCAGCGTGAGGGAAGACCTGTGTGTTCCTGAGGGCCTGCTCTGTGCCCGCCAGAGAGACACATACCTCGAAAGCGAATCCAGACTGGGGTAGGGCATATTTAAAACGCCGGCGGTTGGTTGCGCATCGCCGCCAGAGCCTGGGAGAGGATGCATCAGTGTAAGCGATACCGCTCCCCTGAGCCACACCCGTACCTGAGCTACCGATGGAATAGAAGGAGGTCTTACAGTCGGGAGCACGAAGGGAGACTGCGATACCCATCTCGATGGGAGCCTCCACCCCGGAGATCTCGGTCCAGAAGCCATGACCGCTTACCCTCCCAGAGGCGGTACCGGGAGCGCCGTGATAGCGGCACATACCGATGTGAAGAGCGGAGCCCATCTTTTGGAGAGGACTGCTATGGATCTTCACGGTCCCATCAACGTTCCCGGGATTGGGAGCTGTACCGGACTCGCAAACATGCCCGCCATTGCCATTGCCATTGCCACAGACGCCGCCCCAGGGCTGGTAGCAGTGCCTCCTCGAGAAGCCAACAGAGCAGTAACTGCAGCCGCCGGAGCGTGGAAGATGACAAGGAGGGCCACCTGGTGTGCCGGGTGGGCGATTGGCTCCAAGAGCGATATGAGATTGTGGGGGACCTGGGCAAAGGCACCTTTGGCAAGGTGGTGGAGTGCTTGGACCATGCCAGAGGGAAGTCTCAGGTTGCCCTGAAGATCATTCGCAACGTGGACAAGTACCGGAAGGCTGCCCGACTAGAAATCAATGTTCTCCAAAAAATCAAGGAAAAGGACAAAGAGAACCAGTTCTTGTGCGTCTTGATGTACGACTGGTTTAACTTCCACGGTCATATGTGCATCGCCTTTGAGCTCCTGGGCAAGAACACCTTTGAGTTCCTGAAGGAGAATCATTTCCAGCCTTACCCCCTACCACATGTCCGGCACATGGCCCACCAGCTCTGCCACGCCCTGAGATTCCTACATGAGAACCGACTGACCCACACAGACTTGAAGCCAGAGAACATCCTGTTTGTCAATTCTGAGTTCGAAACGCTCTACAATGAGCACACAGGCTGTGAGGAGAGGTCAGTGAAGGACTCCAGCATCCGAGTTGCTGACTTCGGCGGTGCTACCTTTGACCACGAGCATCACACAACCATTGTGGCCACTCGTTGTTACCGCCCACCTGAGGTGATCCTTGAGCTGGGCTGGGCCCAGCCCTGTGACGTCTGGAGCATTGGCTGCATTCTCTTCGAGTATTACCGGGGCTTCGTACTTTTCCAGACCCACGAAAACCGAGAGCATTTGGTGATGATGGAGAAGATCCTGGGACCCATCCCATCACACATGATCCACCGTACCAGGAAGCAGAAATATTTTTACAAAGGGGCCCTGGTCTGGGATGAGAACAGCTCTGATGGCCAGTATGTGATGGAGAACTACAAACCTCTGGAGAGTTACATGCTCCAAGACTCCCTGGAGCACGTGCAGCTGTTTGACCTGATGAGGAGGATGTTAGAGATTGACCCTGCCCAGCGCATCACACTGGCGGAGGCCCTGCTGCACCCCTTCTTTGCTGGCCTCACCCCTGACGAGCGGTCCTTCCACACCAGCCACAACCCCAGCTTATGACTGGCACAGGCCACTACATGTGGAGATGGAACTGGGCTGCCTGGCCCTCTCTCTCTCCAGCTTCTAACCACTGGGCCCCAGGGCCAGAGCCACCCAATGAACAGTGCAACGTGAAGGAAGGCAGGTGCCTGCAAGGGTGGAAACATGCCCAGCTGCCAGAAAGCACAGATTTGACCCAAGCTATTTATATGTTGTAAAGTTATAATAAAGTGTTTCTTACTGCTTGTAAAAAAAAAAAAAGAAAAAAAGAAAAAAAAAAGAAACTTGCTCCCCCATTGCCCACCCTCCCACCTGCCTTGATGTTCTCCCTTGAAACTGAGCCTTTCAGTCTTCTCCACCCACCTCCAGTCCTGCCTGTTGCTCAAACCCAATCAGTCTTCAAGAGCTCTCTGCTCCATTAACCTTCCAGCCCATGCTCATCTTTCTCTTCCTAGAACTGCCCACTCTTTCCTACCACACTGTGCAGAAAAGAGTAGACGGAGCAGGTCTGACACTGCTATCCTCACAAACGCTTGCTTACATCTGGGTACATGGCTGGCAAGCAGGTCCTTACAGTCATATAATACTTCCCCTAAATGGCAAGAGTGACTCGCTGTGCCTAGACCTGTGGTCAGCAAACCAAGGCTCACGAGCCACATGCGGCTCTTTGGCCCCTTGAGTGTGGCTCTTCCACAAAATACCACTTGCAGGCGCGCACGTACAGTGCGATTGAAACTTTGTGGCCCATGTGCAGAAGTTGGTATTTTGTGGAAGAGCCATTATTTTATGAAAGAGCCACACTCAAGGGTAAAAGAACTGCATGTGGTTCGTGAGCCGTGGTTTGCCGAGCCACAGTTTGCTGACCACTAGACTATGTCTATGCTGAACAGGCTTGCCTTCCAAGAGGCTGGAGTCTTGGCATGTGCTGGGCATATGCATAGGTATGTGCCTCTATGACTAGCCCCAGTAATAGTCTTGGGCGCTGAGTTCCGGACTTTCCTTGGCAGAAACATTGTGTCACTGTGTTTTCACTGGAATAGTGTACTCAGTGTGCCCCATCAGGGGAAGGAAAGAGCATGAAAAACCTGCACATGGATTCCTCAGTCCCTACCTGTGCTTTTCCCCCTGGGACTCAACTGTGCATCCCTACTACATCATTGTACTAAATATTAGCCCTGAGGATGGCTAGATGCTGAGACCTGTGCGTCATTCTTGGGCATCTCCTGATCAATCTCCTGAACATAGTTTCATGGACCCTGGACACCTGCTCAATTGGAACCTTTTGTACCATTATGTAACTGCCTTTTACTGTTACATCACTGATGCTTGTATGTAGGCCTGTACCCCTTCCCACAAGACCCTGAAAGACAGAAATATACCTCATAAGTACTTCTACACCATGCAACACATTGCACAGGACACCCAGCAAAAACCCTAGACATTCCTATTGAGAGAATGAATGAATGAAAGATATGTCAAGGCCACCTATGGTTGAGGCAGTACTGAGCCTCATGACGTCTGTGGGCAGATAGCTGATATGCTTTAATGAATCTAGCTCCTAGTGTCCTAACTCCTGGGGCAAAGGGAAACTGAATAAATCAGGCTCTAGTAGTCTTTCCAAGTGACCCCTGGCATCATAAGCCAGCCAAGGAAGGTTCTGCTAAAACTCCCAGGAGATGGAGACTGCTGTGCACAGACGCAGGAAGAAATAGCGAAAACAGATCCAGAGCTGTTTGCAAGCTGTACATGTGAAACCTTGGGACTCACACTCTGAGCACGATGCCTTGTTCCAGAGGGCTACAGAACAGCTGTTTGTTTGCGTATTTGTACCACCAGAAGTGTAGGGAGGTAGTCATGTGTGCATGTGCAAAATTATATGAGTGGGCATATATGATTTCATATGCATAAACAGGCACTTTCCACAAATGCCTGTGTCTGTGTGAGCTCATATGAGCTTGCTTAGGCTTGCAAACATAATTACATGAGTTCATGCCTTTGGAGTGTGCAGGCAGGTGTATTTGCATGCACCCATGCACAGCAGAGTGAGCCCGTATACATATGTGCACACGCATACTGATTTTCCCTTATCTACTCTGTGCTGAGCAGACAGCTGCCTTAATAACAGCTGCAGCTGAGCGAGCGCACTCACTGCTGTGGCCCCATTGTGCTCTCAGGATTGCTTCAGCCCTTTCAGGATTACCAGTGCTCAGCGCAGTTTAAATATATCTCCAGTCCTAATCCCTAAACAAAGATGTAATGATTTCTGCTAAATATGTTGGATTATTTATTAAGATAAAGTCAAGGATAGGAGAAGCCACGTCTGGTGCAACACTGATTGCCATTCAAGATGGGAGATCATGAAACCAGATACACCTCCACCCCTGGGGGCGGGAGAAGGTTAAAGGAAAGGGAAGTAATTAAAACAGTTAGATTCCTAGAGGCATAGTGGTTGCCTACCCCTCATGCATATACACCAAAGTGGCGGAGAAGAGAAGCAGCAGACACCCTCGCCAGCACTGGGATATGGCTCTGGCCACTCTGTAAGGATCATGGACCATGAGGCAGGCCTTGAGTGAGAATCCTCTGTGAGAATACAACAGAGAGTTAAGCACCTCCTCTTTTTAATAAATTCCCAGTTGAGGGATGGGCCAGGGGAGTAGTGAGGGCCACTGCTAACCCAGAGGACATTTCTAGGCAAATTAGGAGGATGCCATTCATTCTCCAGGTGCCCGCAGCCCTGTCCCAGGCAGCGTAGCTTGGTCAGTGGATCTGGGAGGATTTCAGCTGACCTTACATAGGGCTTGCCTGAGAATGTGTAACAACCTGAGCATAGAGAGAAGGCCAGAGGGGTGAATGTGGGTGAGGTGCTGTCCATTCAGAGAGCAGGTCAGCCCAACAAAGGAATGTCAAAAAGACTGCATCTCACCTTAGGTCCACCATCACTGGGGTTATAGCCCTTTTCTCAGCTCTATCCTATCTGCCCCCCACTATTATAACAGGGAGTTTTCAGTACCTAGAAACATCTCAGACTTGGAATCTGGACAGGGAATCCTATCTAATAATAGACAAACAAGGTAATTGACAGTATCTTCACTACGCCTCCCATTGGCTAATCAGTGCAAAATGCAAATTAACCGCTAACAAAGATGGCGGCTAATTTGCATACTGCAGGCAGGGTGGGTCAACGCCATCCCACCTGCCCTGCCACCATCTGGGCCTGCTATTTGCCACCCAGGGTGGTGGGGCAGGACAGCACCATCCCACCCGCCCCGCCGCCATCCGGGCCTGCTCTCTGCGACTGGGGGCCGCGGGCGTCCCGTGTGCGACCGGACCCAGGGCGGCGGGGCAGGACAGTGTGGCTCCTTTGTCACCCCAACTTCCTCATCACAGCTCCCTTGGGGGCCTAAGCCTTTAGTCAGACTTCCCCGAGGGCTCCCTGGCTGCCAGAAGTATGTCTGACTGCAAGCTTAGGCCTGATCCCCCAGGGAGTGGGCCTAAGTCTACAGGTGGACATCCCCCAAGGGGCCCTGGACTGCAAATGGGCACAGGCCAGGCTCAGGGGACCACCCCCCCCCCTTCCCCGAGTGCACAAATTTTTGTGCACCGGGCCTTTAGTTATAGTCTTAAGCAGCTACAGCTTTCGGTGTGAGTTTGTGTGAGTAACTGAACTTCAAGCCTTAATCTCTAGTAAAATGAGGAGGATAATTTTTGTTGTAAAGGCCAAATGCTCAGTAAGCCCATGCCTGTGCCTGTGCTAGATGCAAAGTGGGGGAGAGGGGTGGGGCGGGGGAAATGAGAAGTGACAGTCCTGATGAGAGTGAGCATACAACTCATGCACTTACTGATGCGATTGGATTTAGATCACTCATCATTTCACTTTTGTCTCCCATCTGTTCTTTTCATGCCTTCTTTTGAATTGACTAATTTTTATTATTCCATGTTATCCCTTTTGTTCACTTGTTACCTGTAATTCTGTGTTGTATTATTTTAGTAGTTGTTTTAGTGTTTATAGGTTACATCTTTAACTCACCACTGTTTACCTTCAAGTGATATTGTACCATTTTCATGTACAGTGTAAGAACTTACACTGGTATGTGTTCATTTCTCCTTTGTTCCAATGCTGACAGATATTTTCCTTTCTCACATGTTACATACACCATCCTATATTATTATTTTTGCTTCAAAAAATCAACTATTTTAAAAATGATTTAAATAAAAAGGAAAAATTATCTACACTAATAAAAGAGAAAAATGGTAATTGGCGTACGGCGCTACCCTTTTCATTGGCTAATCAGGGCTATATGCAAATTAACTGCCAACTAAGATGGCAGTTAGCTGCCAACAAAGATGGTGGCTAATTTGCATATGTAGGCACAATGCAGGGAGGCGAAAGGGAAAGCAGGAAGAAGCCCCCTGCCACTGACAGTGATCGGAAACCCAGGGGGGAGCTAAGAGGTGGGGGGCAGGGCAAAGTCGGCCCCAGGGGCGTCCTGCAGGGGCAGGGGCAGAGCCTGCTGCCACTACGGGTCCCCGCTGCCTGGGCCGGATGCCTAGGCCAGAGGCGTTAGGCCTGGGCAGGGGCTGAGCCTGCAACCGCGGGGAGCTGGGGGTCCTCTGCCCAAGCCTAATGCCTCTGCCAGAGGTGTTAGGCCTGGGCAGGGGCAGAGCGGGAGATCGCGGGGAGCTGGGAGTCCTCTGCCCAGGCCTAGTGCCTTGGCCAGAGGAGTTAGGCCTGGGCAGGGGTGAAGCCTGCAACCGCGGGGAGCTGGGGATCCCCTGCCCAGGCCTGACACCTCTGCCGGAGGCCTCAGGCCTGGTCAAGGGGCCGATCCAGTGATTGGTGATCGGAGGGTGATGAGGGTCAACTCCTCTGGCCGAGGCATCAGGCCTGGGTGGGGGGTGGAGCCGGGGATTGGAGGGATATGATGGTCCCCTTGCCCAGGCCTGAAGCCTGGGTCAGAGGCGTCAGGTTTGGGCGGGGGGTGGAGCAAGCGATCAGAGGGAGATGGGGGTCCCCTGCC